AGTTTCCTAAGCCTTATTTCCTCATGCCTATATTAATGCTACAGAGTTTATTCAAATCTACTAGTATTGTCCCAAAAGAAAGTAATGTTCTTGTTTTGTCAATAACGTCAAGAAGAATAATCTTATCGTCAGTAAGCTGTTTTTGTTGCCAATGCTGAGACATGATCAGTAAGTAAAAGTTGTGTCTTCAAGAAATCCGCTCGTTGTGGAATAATTTGAAATGTTGTTTTACGTCGCAGGTAGTGATGCCTACTGTAGAAGCTGATGTAGCATTTGGTCTTGGCAAGTATCATGACATGAGTCAAGAAGAAGTTAAGTCTAGGGTGATTAAAGCTTTGGATGCAGTTGGTATGTGTGATTATATGCAGGTCGGTTTTATGTTAATTGAATAACCAAAGATTTTTTTTTTTTTCATGGTCCCTAGTTAGTTCCATTTCTTAGAAAAGTTGGATTCTGGTATTGTTTCTAGAGACCGATTCAAACTCTCAGTGGTGGTCAGAAACAAAGAGTCGCCATTGCTGGTGCTTTAGCTGAATCTTGCAAAGTGCTATTGTTGGATGAGCTCACTACCTTCCTCGATGAGTCTGATCAGGTAAAAGTTTGATACTTCGATTAAAATTCTTATAAAAATGCTAATGAAACGCAAAGTAAGTATTGTGAAATCAGCATATGATTGTTGAGCTACTTTAATCTTGTTGTATGGTAGACATTGGAAGTGAGTAACTTGCATATGCTTTGAAATGAATTTGACAGAACTCTTATGCCACGCTTAAGCTTCTCTTAATCGATGCATATTGTTTTTCTCGGGTTATTTGTTATGGCAGTTGGGTGTGATCAAAGCTGTGAAAGATCTAATAAATGCAAAGAAAGGAAGAGATGTGACGGCATTATGGGTGACACATCGGTTAGAGGAGCTCGAGTACGCGGATGGAGCTGTCTATATGGAGAACGGTAGAGTAGTCAGGCATGGTGATGCAGCCACCATTTCTAAATTCATTAAGGTCAAACAATCGTCTTATATTGAACAAATTGGTTCTTCTTAACTTCCTCTGTTACGGATTTTTGCTTTCTTAATTAAAAAAAAAAATGTTGAAGCATATATAGAGGCAATGAAAAGTCAGATTTTGTAAAAGATTGTGATCAGATATAGTTCTGCAGATGGTATTATAGTTAGGGCTCACTATTGGGTTTTGGTTCTTCATTTATTCTCAGCTCCTGGAACTAAGACAACAGGACATGGGTTTGACTTGAGTGTAATCCGAGCAATCCTTTTTTTTTCCAAATGTCTGGAAAATAATAGAAAACATGAAGAAAATAAAAACAAAAGAGTCCCAAAGTTC